GTAAGTACTTGAATTTTACTTCGATTTACTGTGAGCTGATAGTCCTTGGAATTTCTTCGGAGATTTTTGCATATTTTTTCTGTCGAAATGTTATTGGCAAACGTATAGCTTTCGTTCATTTATTGGTATTTCGTCTCACATTTGAAAAAGGCTTTTCGCCAACAAAAATGCCCAAAACAACGAAGAATTTTGGATAAATTTTTTTACTGGGGATCTGATTTGTACAGCTATAATGGTGTGTTACTGAGAGGAAAGAAAATTGCATTAGTCGGCAAATTGACGTCTAACTAGTTGATCCTAGTTTTTTTTTCCTGCAAAACCTAATATCTGGAAAAGTTTTCTATTTACTTGCTCTTTGTAGAGAATTCGGACCGCCATTCAATATGCAACTCGATCAGAGTAAATGGAGATTTGGTGACTATTTGAGCGTGACATTCGATGCCCGTAAGTACAGATTTCTTCGTCTAAGTCATTAATTCCGAAAGCTTTTTGCACTATTCGCTCATCGTCGCGCTATGTTTTAGATGGTGATGGTGGTAATGGATCGATGACAATCCGTCCGTTGGTGGTATTCGATCGAGAGGCGGTTAATCCGGGTAAAATTCTCGAAATTCCGCTGATTCTCACCGATCGCGCGGATAAAACGAATCATGCATCCGTACATGTCATCATTGGAGACGAGGTAAGTGTTGGGATGTCCAACCCGAAAATATTGGTCATATCCATTGATTTAGTGGTAGATAGTTAAGGTTAAGAGCCGTCTGGACCCACGGCCATAAATAAACATCAAAGAAGTGTGTAGAGTCTTGTTTATGTTAACATCTGCGAAGCTCAGACGGCGTGCGCTAAGCTGATCCCGATTGAGCTGTATAGTTTTGAATACAAAGCAATGGGGGCATTTTTCGGCGTCCCTGTCGAGCCTTTCTTTATGGGGCCGTATGCTGAATGTTGGGGAGGGGACGGGGATGGGTAAACGTTGGGGAGGTTCGTCGCAGGACCCACTGGGCAACGGTCGCACCTTTGATTTTGCAGCTTTGTTTCCATTCTTTCATCGCTGCTTTTGGTGTAAAGAAAGGTATTTACGTGCGAATATACAATCAGAAACAGTAAAAGGATGGAAACAAAGCTGCAAAATCAAAGGTGCGACCGTTGCCCAGTGGGTCCTGCGACGAACCTCCCCAACATTTACCCATCCCCGTCCCCTACCCAACATTCAGCATACGGCCCCATGGTGGTTGCGAAGATAGTCACCTGCAAATTGCTGGTACTTGAATGTACCCTCGCGTGGCTTCACTAAGAAGTAAAAACGAAAGAGCTATTTCTAAGCCTGTTGACCTGTTATCGATCCTTCGTAGGATCGTGAGCGTTCGTACTACTCCTATCAGTTTTGCGTTTTTATGACTCTGGGCTAACCCTGGAATTCTCCTGTCCCTCATGGAGGCACAAGGGCCAGGAATCAGAACGCAAGTATGCGATCTATGCTCATCCCCATAACTGAACCTGAGATGTGACTAAGCTCTGTTAATAATCGACTTATTGCAAGGTTATTAGCATTGGGTCCTGGTTGGAAAGCCATTATGCCTTATTTTGTCGTTTTACCAGGCTTTCATTTATAACAATAACTCTTGCGTTTATGTCTATAGATCGTGCATTTGAAAAGTAGTAAATTCTGCTGCTCGAGTAAGAACAATTGCCGTCCATTAAGAAAATGAGGGCTATGACCTTCACAGCGCATAGGTGCACTCTTATACAAATCTCGCCGAGCTACTGAATGCCATCTAGATAGTCGTCGTAGTACGAGCTGTCACATCCAATGCCGTAATAGCACGTCCATCCGTGCGAGGTTTACGGTCGGTGGACGACGATGACGTCAGTTATGTGGCTGGCGGAATCAAATGTACAGGCAGGCATGCGTTGGCTGTCCATGGTGACGTGCGTCAACAACGCGCAAGACGGCCTCCATCTCCAGCGTAAGCCATCCAGCGCTAATCTGTACGTCTTTGTCGGTACGTCGGCCGTGCGTAGGAATTTTGTGGTCGCAAATCCGCAAAAATTGCCCTGTATTAATCCGCTGGAGCGCGATTGTTGCGTACCGGTAATGTGCGGCTTTGAAAGGACGGTGGCGGCTTGTCTTCAAAGAAGGATGCGGTGCGATTTGAAACCCTCCTCGGCCCCATTCATTGTGCTGTTTGGATGCCCAACGTAACTCGAAACCACCCGCTGAGACAGCCGGATCCGAGTGGGCAGCCGTCAGTCGTAGTGAAGGCGACGGCCAGGGTTGTTGGCTGACTGTCGGATCGAATTTGTCGTTCTGAAGAGTCGAAATGTCAGTGGAAAATGGTGCGAGATGCGTCGTCTGCGTTTTGTGTTTGTCTGTATACAAGCCGTCGAGCAGCTCTCCACGATCCGCCTCATTTATTAGCGAACACATCGCGGCTGGGGTGGCCAATGTTTGCAGAAGAGGAGGCAAGGGTCATTCAGAGCTACGAGTTACATCCTGTGTCGTTCCGTAAGTGATGGGGCAAGGGTCGCGCGTCGGGTCGATCTTGGGGTTAATGCTATGCGCCTAATTAAGATGGACAGGCACGTATCCGGCATTGTCATTAAGGTATAGTAGGGTCATATTTGTCATGGAAATCGGAGGTGAGAGATGAGATGATGGGTTTGGTGTCATCTGTATGAGACATGACCTTGGAACTAAAGGGGTTCAGCGAGGCGGAGCATACTTGAGGGGATGTTGATGGCAAGAAGCTCCGAGACTGTAAAACTAGGGTTGAATCCGGATTGGACAGCTGCAAGTAAGCTGATTGGCTGTTGAATTACCAATCCTATCCGCTTGATTTCTCCAGATGGGACAAGTTTTATGCTTGTTCGCATTAGCTTCAACGGTATGGGGTATTCCTCGAATTGAATGAGGCAATGAGGCATTGTCGTCCGTATGGCGACTTTTGGAGTTAGCATGACTAGGAATCCGAGCACAGTAGTAAAACGAAATACCAAGGCTGTTGTGAGCAATCTCATTGGTTATAGGATTTCCAATTTGGTTTTTCCGTAGTTGCAACAAGTTTCGTGCTTGTTCGAATTAGTCTTAATGGTATTGAATGTTTTTATTCACAATTAAATGAGGCATTGTCAGCCTTACAATGGTTGCTTGACTGGAATTCGCATTAGTTGAGGAATCTTAACAGCACAGGGTTAAGGCATTTTGCGGACCCTGTGACTGCTCGGTTTTACGAAGCTACAGAATTTTGCATTAAGGCAAGAAATCGATGCATATCAAACGATTTTAACAGACACAAACTTTGGAAAAGGATAAAGTTCGATGATGAAACCCCTTCTTTGGGACGCGCCATGCATTCTACTTTCATTCAGAATTGTTGTGACTGGGGGCACGCGCATGTATTCTACCTGCAGCTCGAATCGTTAGTGACGTTTTAATATGCAATGGCGTCTTATAGAATGAATTGCTAGACAGCTGAGTACGAGTTACGTTTGCTCCTGCCAGGCACTCTAGTATCATTAGCGAGACAGATTTATAGAGCTTCGGGGGGCGAGCGCATGACGCCCGGCGATTTGACCGGCCCGAATCAGTGCACGTGGTAATCACAACCATTGTAAAGCCATTTCGCCCTTTCCATGTTACCATAACATTCCTATCAATATACTATCAGTGTGTGCTCCACTGGGATAAGTTGCTTTGCCACTTTTTCTTCAACAAACCGATACACTGGTTCATTGTTACAGCATTCGATTCAAATCACAGATTTCGAGCCAGCAGCACTAGCAAGTATTTGGCCTCCTTTTGGGGACGAAGCGTAATTATATTTAGCAGGTTCGATTGGTACATTGCGCATTGCGCAGCAAAAGCTCTTAATAATATACCGTTCAAAGAAGTTTCATGTTGAGAGGAAATCTTTTTTCGTATTACTTGAGAAAAAATTTTGTTGCAGAAATCACCAATAGCAAGTTCGTCTCTGGATCACAATTCTTGGCTTCTTTGAAGTACAAGCTGAGAGATTTGCTTGACTGGCATACAGGAGCTGCCTGTCCAGATTGATTTGCTTCCTTTCCAGATTGATTTGCGGCATTTACCCATCCAAGTACATCATTTCGTCTTGATGAAAAATGAATTTATGATACACGCGCTTGAGAGAAGTGCATTTGACTTAACAAGATAAGTGTGCAGAAAAAAAACCGTTGCCAGGAGGCAACATAAATGCTTTTCATTTAATTGTGCGGAGCGTTGAGAGATGAATAACAAAGGTGCAAAGGGGCCCAAATATTGCTTCAGAAAGATCTCACCTGAATCAGCGCTAAGTTTACCAACTGCTGGTCTAGAAAGTTGAATAGGGAAGCAAGGGAATTATACCTTTACCGAAGGCTTGTACGGAGTTCTTTAAAGATTCTCCAGGGGTGCTGGACGCCACTTATTCTTGGATTACTGCTAAATATGATTTTCTCGCTTTCTCTGCGAGGCATATTTTTCTTAGAACGACAATCGATGCACGATGGAGGAAAATGCAGATCACTGTGAACTCGTACCTTGGCAAATTGAAGAAGACCCAGATTGGTCGAGTGTATGTGGAAGATCTGGATGATTGGGATTTGGGTGATAAGACGTTCACATGGAAGGAATCGTTGCCCGGTTTTGAGTTGTCACCAAAAGGAGAGGTAAGTTATATGAGCCCAAGGAAGTAACTGTATCTAGGCTGCTTCGCTGCTAAGCTTCGTGGTTGCAGATAACAATGGATGCCAACATGCCACCTGGTACCTATCATATGTCATCAAATGTGCACGATAATCTCCGAAATGAGAACGCTGTCGGATATGTGACCGTCAATGTTCTGCTAGTACCGGAGGTCGCGTTCGTGAACCAGGTGAGATACTTTTTATGTATAATTGTAATTGGTCGCTGCGCCAGATTTGCTAACTGGTTTTTTTGGTTACTTTTGAGCATCTGCTTTTTTCCTGTAGTTGCCCACCGCCGCAATTTTCGCCTGCCTAGTTTCGGTTTACTTCTTCGTCTGTGGCAGTTTCATCGCCGCATTATCCAGCTCCACTGCCGCTCTTTGGCGCTTGTTCTCATGTACTGTTGCTGAACATTCCATTCAATATTGCTCTCTCTTGATCTTTGGTCTCTTGGTGCTACTCGAATTCTTTTATTTTCATTTGTATAGCCTATCATTTCGTAATTTGAAGTCACCAGACGCCAAACACTGGGTAGTCTTGTCTGCTGCTGACCAGCGTCCTTTAGCCAACTCTTTCTAGCCCCAGCGTGCCTGAGGATTTTGAGATGCATTATGGTTTTATAAAAATCTGTTGCAAAATTCCTTTTTCGCTCATTTTCTGTCGCATACTTTTGCGCGCTCGCTATGTTGCTTGACCCCGTTATGTTGGCTGGTGCAGCTCGCTTGAGGTGATGTTCGCGTAATACCGCACGTGGAACTTTTCTGGTCACGTCAGAAAAGTAGAAAAAGGGGTGCATAAAATTTTGAGTAAAAAATCAGTGTTCTGAATAGTATGTTTACAGGGATCGATGCAGTTGTTGCTTGGTGAAGATTCTAGCCTGCAAACTGAATAGATTTCAATTCGAAGTGAATGCCAGTGGCAAAGAGTATCAAGGACATCTGTTACACAGGAAATGGTTGAAATTATCATGAGGTGGCAAACGCTATCTACTGGATGTTTTCTCGGTTCAGGTTGGTATTTTGATAATGCAAGCGGTCTTGATTGGAACTACTATACTGTAAAAAATCTTAAATGACTTGCTTTTAGTTGGACTATGCAACATTGCAAACACGTACTGTCCCTGTGTTGAATGTGCGCTTCTCTGCTCATGGTTCGCCGTACAAGTCAGTTTTTTTGCTCTTTAGTGATGATTACTGGATTGAGTAACAACAAATTCATTTTGCTTTAGGGACTCTACACAACTGAACGGTCTGATTTCGGCAAATCGAGATGAACTGCAGTCGAAAATGGGTACCACAATTGTCGGAGTGGGCATAGACATGTGCAAATTCACCGTATGCGATTCGGGATGTCAAACAATCAGCACAGCAGATTTTGTGAGTTTATCAATCAGTTAAATCGTACCTATATTTTCTTCTGGGTGCGCAAGCAGCAATGTTTTCATTAATTGCTGAAAATTGAGCTGGGCTATAAGGTCATGTTCCTCCTCTAATGTGTCCCTACGTGGTTGAGCAGCAATAAGAGCTGAGCGCGAACTGGTCAATAGTCCTACCAGAACTTCCTTGCCAGTCTGGCCAACTCTCGGGGCTCGTTTGGTTCCCTTAGAATCTCTAGGGGGGATAGATTTGAGCTGTTCCTGCTGCTGCCCGCAGAACAACTTGGAGTTTTTTGTTGGCTCGAAGCTTTTTGAATTTGAGGTAAATTGCATAACCATGCTTTAGTGCATATTCCTATATTTGTATGGTTAATTTAGTCTCGGTCAGCTTGTTCAGGTTGCGTAGATTTATTGTTACAGAATGGAGTGGTTGTCTCAGCGAACAGTACTGTATTAGTCGGAGTGAATGCTCAATCGAAAGACGAATGTACTTGTCCCGTATGGCGTCCACCACCTCAGTGTCTGGCAGGACTGTGCCACAATGAGGGCGTCTGTCACAACACTCATCCGGGATTCTTGTGAGTTTTTCGCCATCTCATCTTGTTGTTTGCTTCCTCATTCTTGGAAAATAGCTGTTTTCCAATTAATTTGTATCTGAAACATTTGTGTAGGGCAGTTGAGAAGCTTTCAGATAGAGGTCCTAACATGCTTAGGCTGTTGTGATTTCTAAGCCCTACTAGTGAATCAGTTTTTAATCTTATGTACATGCTTAGCGGCTCTTTATCTCTTTATTCCTATTTTGTGTTTCCAGCTGTGAGTGCCGCAACGACCTCCTAAAGGGAGCAAGGTGTCAGGGAACAACGCGATCGTTCTCAGGAGATGGTTTTGCTTGGTATAAACCAATGCCGGCCTGTACAAGTCTCAACATCAGCATGCAATTTATGACACTGTAAGATTACAATACTTTTCGGCTTCACTTTAGTGTTTCCCCATTGGTTAAATGTGGCTTGGTTTAGTCAACCCGATGCTGTCCTTTTCTACAACGGCCCGATGGACACAAAAACGACGGAGAAACAAATCGACTACAGGGACTACATCATTATTCACCTTAGAGGAGGTCGTCTTGTGATGGAGGTTAGAAAGGCATTTCCATTGTACGAAAATTGCATCGATGGTAACGCCGGTGTTTTTATGGG